GAGAAACAGAATCATAACAATAAGTTTTTTGGAGTTGGTTTTTTTTTTCTTTTTTCTTTTTTTTTGAAAGAAAGAGAAGGAGAAAGGGGGAGAGAGAACAGGAGTCTTGCTCTATCGCCCAGGCTGGAATGCAATCTAAAAATAGGTATTAAAAACCTCTTTTATGCCGATAATTGTGCTTAACAGCGGAGACTGGAAGGAATAAGGGAAGAAAATAACAAACAGCTAACCAATATTTCATTTAAGTCTGTGAAATGCTATGCAAACGCTGAAGAATGATTTAATTCCAATTATGTGGTCACTTTCAAAATAGGTGTAATATGATACTGAGAAAAATGTATGTTCTGTGGACCTGGGGTGAAGAATTCTATAAATATTCACTGAGTTTACTTGTTCCAGGTCTGAGTTCAAATCATAGATGACACTGTTAATTTTCTATCTCGTTGATCCGTCGAATATTAACAATGTGGTGTCAAAGTCTCCTGCTATTATTGTGCGGGAGTCCAAGTCTCTTTATAAAGTCATTAAGAATTTGTCTTATGTATCTGGGTGTTCCAATATTGGGTGCATATATATTTATGATCATTGACTACTGTTGTTGCATTGATCCTTTTACCATCATGTAATGCCCTTCTTTGTTTCTTTTAGTCTTTGTTACTATTAAAGTGTATTTTGTCAGAGATGAAAGTTACCACTCCTTTTTTTCTTTTTTTTTTTTTTGCTCTCCATTTGATTGTTAAATCTTCCACCAACCCTTTGTTTTGAGTTTTTGTGTGTCCTTGCTTATGAGTTGGATCTGGATACAGCAAACCGATGGGTTTTGACTTTTTATTCAATTTGCTTGTCTATGTCTTTGATTGGGGCATTTAATCCATTTAAATTTAGGATTAATATTGATATTTGTGAGTTTAATATTGTCGTTTAATGCTAGCTGGCTATTTTGCCCATTAGTTGATATAGATTCTTCATTATGGAGATACTCTTTACCTTTTGGTAAGTTTTTGGGATGACTGATACTGGTTGTTCCTTTCTGTGTGTAGTGCTTCTTTCAGAAGCTCTTGTAAAGCAGGCCTGGTGGTGATGAAATCTCTGAGTGCTTGCTTGTTCGTGAAAAATTTTATTTTTCCTTTATTTATGAAGCTTAATTTGGCTGGATATGAATTTCTGGGTTGAAAATTCTTTTGAGGATACTGAATATTGACCCCCACTCTCTTGTAGTTTGTAGGGTTTCAGCTGAGAGATGTGCTGTGAGTTTGACAGGCTTCCCTTTATGGGTAACCTGACCTTTCTCTCTAGCTGCCCTTAGAATTTTCTCCTTTATTTCTCCCTGGTGAATCTAACGATGATGTGTCTTGGAGTTGCTCTACTTGAGGAATATCTTTGTGGTGTTCTCTGTATTACCTGAAGTTGAGTATTTTCCTGCTTTACTAGGTTAGGAAAGTTTTCCTGAATAATATCCTGAAGAATATTTTCCAGCTTGGATTCATTCTCTTCATGACATTCAGGTACACCTATCAAATGTAAATTAGGTCTTTCCACATAGTCCCATATTTCTTGGAGACTTTGCTCATTCCTTTTTACTTTTTCTTCTCTAATCTTGTCTTCTCGCTTCATTTCATTAATTTGGTCTTTGACCTCTGATATCCTTTCTTCTGCTTGATCAATTCTACCGTTAAAACCTGTACATGCTTCGCGGAGTTCTCATATTGTGTTCTTCAGTTCCATTAATTCACTTATATTCCTCTCTAGACTGTCTATTCTCGTTAGGATTTCGTCAAACCTTTTTTCACAGTTCTTAGTTTTTTTACATTGGGCTAGAACATGTTCTTTTAACTCACAGGAGTTTCTTATTATCCACCTTCTGAAGCCTAAACCTGTTAGTGGAACACACTCGTTCTCCATCAGGCCTTGTTCCCTTGTTGATGAGGAACTGTCATCCCCTGTAGAGGGAGAGGCATTCTAATTTGGGTATTCTCAGCCTTTTTACACTGGTTTCTTCCCATCATTGTAAGTTTATCCACCTGTCATCTTTGTAATTACTGACTTTCAAATTAGGTCTCTGAGTGGACTTCCAACTTATTGATTCCCAGCACCGGAATCTGAGCAACCCACTGCGCCAGCCAAAACAGCGGCATTAAGATTCGTGGTGCTTTTCTGCCTGGGAATCTCCGGTCTGGCTTCCTTCTTGAGTCCCTTTTTCAATCAGCTGAATAGGCGACTCTGCCTTCCTGGAGCTCCAAACATGGACCAAAAGGGGACCCAGTCCTGTTTATGCTGCACCAAGAACCGCAGGGCCGGCCTCGCGCTGGCGACCCGTGGGGCTCCTCCGCTGGGAATCTTCTGGCCCGTGAGCAACAAAAATTAGAAAGTGTGGCGTCCTCTCTTTCTCTGCGCTTTCACTGGGAGCTACAATCCTGAGCTACTAGTAATCAGCTATCTTGGATCTCTCTCGATTTTCTAATCTGATTAGATTTGAAGGCACCAGTCCCTCTATTTTCAGTTATAAAGAGGGTACTGGTAGTCTACATTATGATATTAAGAGACATGCAAGGCATGGTCCTGGGTACTCCTAATAAAATATCTATAGGAGGCAAGATTTTGGGTGGCCAAGTATTTGCTTTTACTCAAACTACGGTATATAATGAGACTTGCTGATTGCTTCTAACTTCACCGAGTAGTAGGAAAAGGATGAGCTCAAGTCTTCGAATTCTCAGGTCATACTTCCCATAAAAGACCTGAAAGCTTCTATGTCTGCCCTGAAATAAACCGTCATCTGCTGTAGCCACATGGTAAAGATTTCTGAAAACCTACCCCTGAGTTTCCCTCTGCCAAGGGCTGAATTAAACACAAAAGTGAATCCTTGATTGAGAAGGAACAGGATCCTGAAATTTGACTCCAAATTCCATGTTATTACCATTGCACCATTCAGCTGTGGAAGAATAATTCTTCCAAAACAGTTAAAAAAAAAAAAAAAAAAAAAAAAACCAAAACCATTTTGTGGAGCTTATTTATGAGCACCAAAAATTATTGGAGAATGTACTCAGCACACGCAAAGTTATGTATTATCTCCCTTGTGGGGTAAACTTTGGTACAAGCATTTAGCCTCCCTTAGTCATCTTGGTTTGAGGAAATAAAAGGAAAATAAGAGTTTTGCCTGAACATATGGTGTTAAAAGTGCCAATATAATCTTTGAAGTTTTGCCCTAAATGCATACAGTTTTTGTGAAAGCAAGGACTTAGGGCAGCTTTTGGTAGTTGTTTTCCTTGTTTTTCTAAACTAGCCAATCATACAGAGGTTTAGTTTTGAGAAACCAAGCTCCTAACAGTTTTTCATTAATAACCTTTTTTTTTTTTTTTTTTTTTCCCTCAGTCTGAGCCTCACTATTTCTCCCAGGCAGCAGCAACATCGCGGCTCACTGCACCTCCGCCTCACTTCCTGGGGTCAAGCGATTCTCCTGCCTCGGCCTTCTGAGTAGCTGGGACTACAGATGTGCGCCACCACACCCTACTAATTTTTTGTATTTTTTTTTTTTTTTGAGACGGAGTTTCGCTCTTCTTACCCAGGCTGGAGTGCAATGGCGCGATCTCGGCTCACCGCAACCTCCGCCTCCTGGGTTCAGGCAATTCTCCTGCCTCAGCCTCCTGAGTAGCTGGGATTACAGGCACGCGTCACCATGCCCAGCTAATTTTTTGTATTTTTAGTAGAGACGGGGTTTCACCGTGTTGACCAGGATGGTCTCGATCTCTTGACCTTGTGATCCACCCGCCTCGGCCTCCCACAGTGCTGGGATTACAGGCTTGAGCCACCGCGCCCGGCTTTTGTATTTTTAGTAGAGACGAGGTTTCGCCATGTTGGCCATGCTGGTTTTGAACTCTTGACTTCAGGTGATGTGCCTGCCTCGGTTTCCCAGAGTGCTGGGATTACAGGCTTGAGCCGCCACTCCAGGCCCATAACCTAGTTTTAATCACCTGGTTTTAATTAAACAAGTTATAATTGTATCTGTTCTTAATGTGGGAAGAGACTTGTGACATCTACCTGGCATTAAATGCAGAAGGCAAACATCTACATTCTTTATAGAGGGGCTTCTCACTTCCGTGGCTACCCACTTCCTCCACACCCTGGGCAGGGACCATTTTCTCTGCAATATTTGCTATCAACACTGTTTCAATTCAGTTTGCTGGCCCTCCCAGTTTTTCCAGCTTGAAACAACACCTGAAAAGTACCTGTAAGATATTTTGGTCGAATTCAGGTGCAATTTGGAAATCCTAGGTAGGCAGCCTGTTCTTATCTATTGCAGTTCTCAAAATCCCTTCTGCTCATTCTTAAAAATAGTTCAAGTCTCTTAGACAACTGCAATGGAGTAAATAACATACAGGGTTTTGCCCTTCATTTCTTTAATAAGGGCTGGCTGGGTAGAGGCGAGGAGCCTGAATACCCAGGAGGCGAGTGTCAGCTTGGTGAATGAAGGCTTGTGCCGGCCAGGATTTCTGCTACGCCTAAGCGCGGGCAGTATTGGCTGAAAGGTAGGGGAAGGTGTGGTTGGAATCTTCCCCCAGGAAGGGAGTGACAGACACTCAGCCGCAGGGTTTCTGTGCCAGGGAGATGGCGGCTGAATGGGTTAGGCGAACCGTGGAGAGAGCTTCCTACTCTCGGGATAAGCAAGATTGAGCCCCACAGCTGTAGGCCGTCCGGGAAGGAGGTGTGGGAGCCTGAAGTGGCGCCCACGGCTGCTGGGTGCGCGCTGCATTTTCCAGTCCTTGGACGACCCTCCCAAGAGGTCGTTTTACACCCACACAAACAAGACCTTCTCAAGCGTCCCAGATACATCAGCAGTTCATTCTGCGACTGAAGAAAATATTAACATTTTGCAGATGAAAACTCTCCTCCTGAAAAGACCTTTGCTGAGTGCTGGGGGAGGCGGGGCGCCGGGAAGTAGGAAGGCCGCCCAGGAGGCTGCGGCGCTCGGGGTCCAAGTACTGCCACGGAGCTTCCCCGTTGGGTGACGGAGGAGGCGGGGCGAGGGCAGCGCGCATAAATAGGGCGCTGGGCGCCCGAGCGCAGCCAGCCTCCAGCACGGCCCGCGGCCCGGTGCCAGCTGAGCTGGCCACCGGTGTGCCAAAGTGCGGTGCTACCGCAGGGATCCTGGCTTGGGAAGGGCCTCCGTGAGTCATCTGCTGAGTTGTCGCAATCGCCACCCAGAGGAAATCAGGCACCGGCTGGGGCGCGTCCCTGGCTGCGCCCGCGTGTTCCACCCGCGCGGTGGTGTCCCTCCGCTCCACCTCGGCTCCCGCCTCTCGCTCGCGCTACCCAGGTCTGCGGCGGCTTCACCCCAGACAGGGGCCGCCAGCGGAGAAAGAGTTAACTGGCAGGGGCGAGGAGGAGCCCCGGGAGGAAGGAAGGATATTACCGTAATCCTGAAAGTTTTTTTCCTTCCTCTCTTCCCCTCTGCGAGGTGAGTGCCGAGCTCGGCGCTGTGCTCCCGGTGCTCCCGCGGGACTGCCTGCGGACAGGGACTGCTGTGGCGCTCGGCCCTCCACTGCGGACCTCTGCTGAGTGGGTGCGCCGAGCCATGGAGGGAGCAGAGCTGGCCGGGAAGATTCTTTCCACCTGGCTGACGCTGGTTCTCGGCTTCATCCTTCTGCCTTCGGTCTTCGGAGTGTCTCTGGGCATCTCCGAGATCTATATGAAGATCCTGGTGAAAACTTTAGAGGTGAGTGCCGGGAGGGATGCGGCCAGCCCAACACCACTGCGGGCTGAGAACGCAGGGGTCCAGTTCTCAAGGTCGGTGGTCCCAGGTCAGGGGTGTGTGTGTGCGCCTGTGCATGTGTGCGTGAATTTCGGTTTCTTGTCCGCAGTAGTGCGAAAAGCAGCATCTCGGCTTCTTTATCGGAGCTAGAGGGATCTAGGCTGAAACCACTGGACCACCCTGTTGTTCCTCTGGTTGAAGGCAAAAAATCACTCCACTCCCGGAGCATCATTATTATTTTACTGATTAGAATAACAATGCAGCCAACTTTTTGTATCAGGATTTGCTTGTATCCATTATGCGGTGCTGTTGCAGCGTCACTCTCTAGTTTTTACAGCCCCAGGTTTCAGAGGTCCTTTTGTGTACTCCGGCATCCTGTTCAGAAAGGCATCATGTTCTTCTTTATGCCCAAGATAAGAGACCAATTGCTGGATGGCAGAAAGAAATCTGATTTTACTTTAGTGGAGTCATGGAAATTTTATCTAACCAACAGTACTTGAAATGAAATGCCATTGAAAAGGTATATATTCTTTGACCTCAGATCTCCCTACACTCCTGTTTCCAAATTCTGCAAAGAAAAATGTTAGATGGAAGTGGGCCTGGCAGAGAACAATTGGAGCTTACTCGCAGGGTTTTATTAAGTGTCAAAAGGCTGGGTAGGGCAGGGGGGGCAAAAGCTATCCCCCTTTTACAGACAGAGAAACTGAGAGCCAGAGTTCAGTGGTTTGTTTGAATTAAGTGTTACAAACAGGAGTATTTAAAAAAAAATTTTTTTTTTTTTGAGATGAAGTTTCGCTCTTGTTACCCAGGTTGGAGTGCAATGGCGCAATCTCGGCTCACCGCAACCTCCACCTCCTGGGTTCAAGCAATTCTCCTGCCTCAGCCTCCTGATAAAAAAAAATTTTAATAATATATATGTATTATTATTATTTTTTTTTACATAAGAGACAGTGTTTTGCTATCTTGGCCAGGCTGATCTTGAACTCCTGCCCTCAAGCAATCTTCTTGCCTTCCCCTCCCAAAGTGCTGGTATTACAGGCGTGAGCCCCATGCCTGGCCTGAAACAGGAGTCTTAACTGAGAAGGAGGCCCTGTAGCCTGGTGGTTAGGAATAGAGACCCTGCATATAGGCTTGCTTAGATTTGGCACCAAAATTGCAGTTCTGTTTCTTAAAATGTGACCTAACGGAGGTCATCTACTCTTGTACCTCATTTTCTTCATCTATGAAATAGGAGTAACAATAACTCCTATTTCCATAGGGTTGTCCAAATGAGTTAAAATGTGTCAAGCACCTTAGAAGGCTGCCTGCACCTGCTATATGAATGTTTGCTGCTATTCGAAGAATAATATGATTACTGAGATTCTAGCATTCACGGTGCCTTCTAATAAGTTTGGTTCCCATTTTTGTGACCTTATTTTCTCTCTGCCCTCAGGATGTGGCTTTATCTGCTCTTCTTCCTCAGCTAATTGGGTGGCTCCCAGGTATACATCTCTAACTCACTGGACACTGTCTTGGACCTGCTAACCTCCTCTATTGCCCTAGACCCTTGTTTGTGGCTGTTCCTTTGCGTGGTTTTTGAAGTTATATGTGATTTTTCATCTTCAGCCCTCATGTTTTTAAAATTATATTGTTTCTACTTGGGGGCTATTTCTGTTTTTTTTTTTTTTTTTTTTTTTTTTTTT